GGAAGACAATACAATGCTGAATAAAGTCGTAGTTTTTGTTATTTTTGGACCAAAATGTATTTTCGATGCTTCAACACATTCTAACTAACCCACTGATGTCACATGGACTACTTTGATGATGTCTTTATTTCCTTTCTGGACAAGGACAGTATACCGTACATACATTTTCAATGGAGGGACAGAAAACTCTCGGACTAAATCTAAAATATCTTAAACTGTGTTCCGAAGATGAACGGAGGTCTTACGGGCTTGGAGCGACATGAGGGAGAGTCATTAATGACATTATTTTCATTTTTGGGTGAAATAACCCTTTAAATAAAAACTAGTAGTCATAAGCCACTTTTCCACTGTGAGGCCAGTGCAACCCAGGGCAAACAGCGTGCCGGGAGGGGGCCAATAGCCTCGGACCTTGAGCACCGAGGCCAAAATCAAGTTGCGTTGCATAGAAATTTTAATTAATCAGGCATGTGACACTGGAACCATTTTTCTAATTCTAAATTAAATTCACATATACTCACATCATCTTCAAGAGACTGAATCAGGCTCTGATGTTCTATAAAATGTTCTATTTCTATTTCTAATGTTCTATAAAATGTTCTATAAAAGAGAAGATTACAAATAAACAGTGTTGGGGAAGTTACTTTTAAAAAGTAGTGTTTTCTCGTTACTCGTTACTTCTTAAAAAAGTAATCCGTTACTTTACTTCCCCTTTGGAAAGTAACTTTTTATGTTACTCGTTACTTTTACGTTACTTTTATGTTGCTTGACTTTGGGCAGAACCCAATATCTGTTCCTAAATGTGTAGGCCTACATAAAATTCTACTATGAACTCTACTTATTGAAAAACTAGAAAAAAAAGAAAGATTTTGAGATAGAAAAATAAAATATGTTTATTTAAATAACATTTGAAAAACCTGTATAAACTGAACACCAAAGCACAATATTAACTATTGAGCGGTGGTGACGCGTTCATGAAAAATGTCACAAAGAACCGGCAAAAGAAATGATTATGAATATCGAATATCAAATATAGCAAGGAGACATTTCAATTGTTTATTAATAAACAAGTGTTTTCTTTGTCAGTCAGTGTCGGCTGCAAAGATAAAGTTGACGATGCTGACTCGCGATCTTCACAGTAGTGAACGCGCCAGAGAGAAATGCACATTTCATATGGATTACATGCAGAGAGTCTGTTTTCTCTCGTTTTGAATAGTTTTGTTTTAAAGTACACATTTCAAGCTTTCTATATATTTCTCAGATCTTTGAGGCAAGTAGCTTGCGCTAAGTTTCGGTTCATTTATGAGACGAGCTCAGTCCACGCGCTGGCACGGAGCTCCTGAGAAGTCCTGATTATATTGCCTGCTATATTTACTGCTTATTTATTAAAGACAATTGGTTGATGAAACATTGATTAAAATTAAGATACAATTAATACAAAACGAAATTCACTTTAAAGAAAGGCTTTCTAAAAAAACAAACTTAATGAAGTGGTCAAAATCATGTCTGCCCACTCTATTTGTCTCCCGATTGCGCATCTTATGCTCTTACTCATGGTTTTCACTTTTCATATAATCAACATTGATGAAATTAAAAAATAAATTATTTTATTTAAACAGAAATATGAAACTAAATCGTTTTCTTTAATGACTAGGCTACAACACGCAGGTCTATACAGAGAAATTTAATATCGGAGCGGGATTTGAGCGAACCCCGTCTTACTGTAAGCATGTGGGGGTCGAGGTACGATTTTCGAGCAATCATCGAATATTATTTTGCTTGATATGCCAATCCTTAATATTTGGTGTTTTAAATGCATGTTTGAGGTCTCTGTGAAAGATTTAAAGCAGTCTTTTAGTGCCGCTTTCAGAGCGGTCAAGTCCGAAGAACTGTTACGTCCATAACATTGTTTCTTTCCTCATAAATGCGAACACGAAAAATTCAATACAATTAATATTTTATGTTCTGTGGAGAGCCAACCCTTCTTCATCCGGTGGGAGTATTACTTTTGGTTTGCGCAGTGTAATTCACAGAATTGATTGCTCTGCTACCAGCCTCTGTCACGTTCCATGTGGAGCTTGTGACTATTGCAAGCGCGCAGCAGAGGAGACAGTGTGTTGCTGTCAAATCTGTCCATGGGAAAAGTAACGTTGTGCGGAAATGAAAAAGGAACTACGTTTCGTTACCAAATTTTCTGTAGTAACGCGTTACACTACTTTTTACCCGAAAAAGTAGTTACGTTACTGTAACGCGTTACTTTGTAACGCGTTACACACAACACTGCAAATAAATATTTGTGTGTGCTGTAAGGTGGTTAGAAAAAATTAAATCGGCACAATTATAATAAATTTAAACTATTTTCGGACCTTTCCCCGCCTATACATTAAATTAATACGACAAAACCAGTTGTGATAGAGACATATTATTGAATTTTAAAATTACTTACCATAAACAGCCTAAGTTTGCAGAGAAGCAAATGGCTCCTTCCCCAGGTCTGGTCCAAGATACGTCGTGTAACGTTAATTGGCAAACATGTTCAAAGCTCAACAAGTCTGAAATATTACATAAAAAGATTCATTTGAACACTTATTGCTTCAGAAACATAAGTATAACAGTTCAATCTCTATTACTTAACGTTATTGCCGTTTCCTTCTCTTAAAGGAAACGTCAACTTAACCTGAATGCGTTAACGTTAGCAGCACGGCCAATACGCATTCGTTTAATCACGACGAAAATGAAAAATAATTAAACTATTATTTATCGGGATTATTTTAAGGTTGAATCGCTTCACTAACAGCCTAACTAAACCGTAACGTAAAAGATGACATAAGAAACACACTAACTTTTAAACAACTTCAATGGAAACTTCTGGAATTTCTGAGGCAAAATTATTAACTTACTTATAACGTTAGATTTCTTATAACGTTAGATAGGGCTTCTACCTATCCCTTTTCGAACAGGTTGATTATTATGCTAAAAAAATATATATATATATATTTTTTATTGTTTTTGTGTTTAATTATTTGTATGGATACTTCATACGTATTGCTGTCTTTATTTATTTATTTTATTATTATTTTTATTAATTGTTCGAAATAAAGATTTCATTCATTCATTCATTCAGATTTAAACCATCTTCTGATTTTTCGCTGCCTAGGAAATAAATTTCATTACCCTTAGACAAAACCAGTCTATAAATACATTGCATTTTAAAATTACTTACCATAAACAGTCTTGTTTCCTTGCTTCTGAAGAAGCTGAAGAGAAAATCGCGCCTTCTCTTTCAAGTGTCGTCTGTTGTTTACACTCGGGCGTCCGGCGCATGCGCAGGGAAAATTAAGACTCAGAGTGAACTATCTATTAGTACAATCAACTCATGTTTTTATTTTATATCAGTGCATTGCCACCAAGCCATTAGTTTAATCAACCTAAACTAAAAATGTTTTGTTATCTGAACAACATTAGTGAATCTAAGTTGATTTGACAAAATAAAATATGTTGTGTTAACAAATCATGGAAATCATTTTTTACAGTATGCTCACCAAGACTGCATTTATTTGATCAAAAATACTGTAAAAAAACTGCAATGAAATAATATTACAATTTCTATTTTATTATATTTTAAAACAATTTATTCCTGTGATTTCAGCAGCCATTACTCCAGACTTCAGGGTCACATGATTCTTCAAAAATCATTCTAATATGCTGATTTGGTGCTCACGATACATTTCTTTTTATTATCAATATTGAAACTGGTTGTGTTGCTTAATATTTTTGTGGAAATCATGACTTTTTTTCAAATAGAAATATTTCATAATATTAGACATTTCTTTACTGCTGCTTTTGAAAAGTTTAATGCATCCTTGCTTTTTCTTGAACGATGACTGAAACTTTGTATTACTGGCAATTTATTGCTTTTTTAAGAGCAATACTTTGGATTAAAGCATCTGCTAAATGATTAAATGTACATTTAAATGTTCCTGAAAAAGTATTAATTTCTTAAAAAAAAAAAAATACATACGACCCCAAATCACTTCAAGTGATAAAACTACATGAAAGTCAGCAAGTAGTACATGCTAGTCATGAATTCAAAACACACTTACAGGATGAAACCTAAAAATAGGAAAACACTGAGCCAAAATGTGGCAGTGAGGTGTTAGCACTTGTCTCAGCTAATAAAGGATTAGTCTTCAAGAGGAATAGGATTAGCCAATGTGGACACAGGAAGTGTGCCATTGTGCATATGTATGGCATCACTTAAATCATGATTTTTAAATGGTGCTTTATGTTTTAATACCAGATCAACTCTGAACATTCTTCAATGCCCTTCAAAAGAGTTAAACTGTTATTTAGCACATAACAGCACATACACAGACAGAGAGGGAGATCTTAAGAGTCTTAAAAAAGACAGCTGGTGTCTGCACTCCAGGAAAGGGGGAATTAGGTGAAGGGGAATCTCTAAAACCCATTCACACATTTACACATTAACCCATTTACATTTAAAGCAGTCCAAACACTGACTAGGATACTTCCACTATAAATGAAAGCAAATTGAACATTTTAATAAACTATAAATTAATTTGATGCATAAAATGTATGTCTAAGAGTGGATTGCTGGACACAAACACCTGTTATAAATGTGAAAATGCATTTAACTAAGAACAGACAGGATAAATGGAAAAGCAAGTGTCGTTGCGCAAGTGCACAGTCCAAAACAAAACCATTAAAAGGCAATACTGTGCGTCAAACTCTCTTAAACTGACTAACAGACCCAACTACAGAATTTAAACTATTGAAAAGATTCAATATCTAAACCACAGTATGCAAAAGCGACGACACTTGCTCTGCTTCAAAATGCCTCAGTTCTCTTTTTTAGTCAGCGAGTCCCTTGTTCTGAATACTTCTGTCCTTGGAGGCTCTAGCACCATTAAAACCCAAGTAGCATTAACAGAGACGTGGTGGGCCTGTCCTGTTCTGTCCCACCCCAACTGCCATTTACTCACCTTGGCACAACTTGACATGGTTGATATAGTTGAAGATCCAGGGGTTCCGGTACATATTGATAGAATAAAACAAGGAGTGGATGACTGATAAGAAAAGAAAGTGACCAGAAAGGTCGGGGGGGGGGGATAGTGAAGGACCTAAGAGAGGAGGAAAAATAGGAGAAAGAGAGAGAGGACTGCAGAAAGGCAGCAGTGTCTGAACTGCAAGGTGATGCAGAGTTAGCTGCAGCAGTCCTGGGACAGCCAGAGAAGGGAGGTGGAGAGAAAGAGAGAGAGAGAAATGCTGCGAGGGGAGGAGGAGAACAGTATCTCTCCAACACTATGACACTCTGCTGACGGAGAGCCTCTCGCTGTCTGCATGGCTACTGCTAAATGCTAGCAAGGTAACTACGGTGCTAATGCTACTCACTGCTAATCAGATTAACAATACTGAGGCTGGGGGATGAGGGAGAGAGAGAGAAAGATATAAAGAAAGGGGAAAGAGATGGAGGACAGCAACAGTCAAACAGTAGCGGTTGTGTGCACTAGCAGCTGCATACAGTGGATGTGTGTTTAGCTTTTAGGACAGCTGAAAGGGTGAGAAAGTAAGAGAAGATAATTGCCTCAAAGGAACAAGAAATTCCAATCGTCTCTTGGCAATGACATATTCGTGGTACTTAGAGAAGGAGAGAGTGGAAAAGCAAGATCTCTGCCATGGAGAACATAACTTGCCAAGTCATATTGTTGTGCTAAGTACTCAAAGGAGGGACAAAATAATAGACGATGTGTGGACTAGAAAAATCACTTGAATTATGGACACATCAGGTCTTTCCCGTTCTGTTTTACCAATATCAACAGATGATGCTGCGTGTTAAATAGGTTTCGATTTTTCATTTTTACTATCCTGGTCCCTGTAGTGTACGGGAGGGGGGGGGGGGGGGGGGGGGGGACCTTCATTGCTTGAATTTCTTCTCAGGATTACTGGTGAATTTCAAAAGAATGACTCTGACCGTGTGCATCTGTTAGATGAGAAAATATCCATACCAGCAGCCAAACTCAGAAATTCTCATGTAATAAAGTCACCCGTTTGATGAGGAAGACATTGACTGCTGAAGTCTGCTGGATTAATAGTATAAAGAGAGAAAATATAATGGTCAAATAATGGATAGTGGAAGAGAGCTAAAGCATTTAATATTATTATATTATAATTGCAATTTAAAATAACTCCATTTAAATGTATTTTAAAATGTACGTCATTTATTTCTGTGATGGCAAAGCTGAATTTTCAGCAGTCATTACTGTCTTTAGTGTCACATGATCCTTCAGAAATCACTCTAATTTGATGATTTGGTGCCCAAGAAACAGATTTTTTTTTAATATAATTATCAATGTTGACTTGAAAACAGTTTGTGTTGCTTAATATTTTTGTGGAAATTTGTGATACACAAGATACATTTTTTCCAAGTTAAAAAATAAGCATTTATTTAAAAAAAAGATTTTTTCTAATATTATAAATCCCCTTACTGTCACTTTTGATCAATTGAATGTATCCTTGCTGTATTCATTTAAATTAAAGAATTAATTTCTTTCTAAATCAAAAACTTACGGACCCCAAACTTTGGAACCATAGATTATAATATAATAAAGATTTAAGCTAAACTTTTGTAACTTTAGTTAAAGCAACTTGAAAAAAAGATCAAAGGGCCTTTTAAATATTGCCTGTAATATCATAATTCTCCTCTCTATTATAAGCCATGCATGAACATACCAAAGTGGTTCACAACGCAAAAGAGTTACCAGAGCATTTATGGAAACTAGGTTACGTAGCAAAAATTTAAAGGTACAATATGTAGGAATTTTGTAATAAAATATCCAAAATTCACTTGCACAGTGTGATATATTTCCTGCAGTTGTGTACTTACAATATCCCAAAAGTCTCCAAAGATTTTTTAATTCAGAGAAATTCCAATTTTAAATAAGTGGCCGTCCCGGAAAAATGACGTAACCATGGCGACAGACGTGGACAACTGTGTAGTGCGTAACGTTTAGCTGCACACTGTTCTTGTTTCGTTCAAACATTATGGACCATGGCAAGCAGACTTTGGGACAAAAAAGGAGAACTAAAATGAGGATCAATATCAGCGTGGCGTTTTCGAGATGCCGAGAGCTCCACGTCCGCGACTAATTTGGAGCAACACCGCTCTTGCATATACTTTATTAGACAGGTGAGCAAATGTACATAAAACAAAAGGATGTATCTGTGTTTCCTTGCAAAACATGCAACTGTCAATAATATCACTTATAAACAATGCGAGATTCATAGGCCTATATGACGTGACAGATCAATCATTATGCATATGTTGATTCACCTCAAAAACTATCAAGTGATCGTTAAGCTGATGAAAATTCAGTTATATTGCTCTTTGTACTTTGGTAATGCTTTTTATCACTTGTGTTTTGACCGAGATTATGGCAGTGCAATTAAATACAATCGGATATGTGTTGTTAAACAATATTTAGCCATTACTTGCAAATGTTCGTTCAAATTTACTTTGAGTACGATTGATTTGAACACGTAAAACAACACGGCATTAACCATAAACATGTAAAACTGCGCAGCATTAACCCAACAAATCATTTGACAAATAGCTGTAACAGGATAATATAGCATAACATTTCGCGTTCCTTGCAGTTAATTCATTATGGTGACATAAAATATTGTGATCAGACGTACAGGTAATACAAAAACAAATAAATTACCTCATCCGTGATCATGATTCATTAATTCCATAACATCTCTGGATGGTGAAAACGACATCTCCCATCGTTCAACTCTCCCTCATAGCGTCATCAAGCTTCGCCTTTGTTATTGTTAGTAACTGCGCCCTCTTGTGGCGAAAAATTCCTACATATTGTACCTTTAATGTTCATTCAAAAATCTGTGACAAAGCAAATGTGAAAAAAAAAACAATTTCCAAATGCTTATCCTATGTAAGATAACTATGATGCTGGATCCTTAGCCAAGGAAACACCCTGGACGGATGGCCAGTCCACTGCAGGACACAACAACCATGAACATATCACAAAAAAATAACAGAGGCTAAATTGACACAGTCAGTTTTGGGGACTGGCAAATGTATTTATTTACAGATGCGTCAAATACACTCTCCAAATCAGGGATGACAAACATAATCTGCTGCTGTGTGAATGTAGCCCAAATGACTAACATTATAAATGGACTATAAGGGGAACACAAAAGAAAGGACCCAGGGAGGCAGTGTAAAGGCGGCGAGACATTAGAGAATGAGGCCAGTGTGGAATGTAGGGAGAGTACACAGCAGCAGAGAGAAATAACCTCAGTGTGCAATCGAGCAAGCAGGGCATTTGAACACTCATGTACATGCAGAATGGCATTTGCCCTGCACTATTTCTGGCCTATTATCCTGACTGCAATGTTTCCACTGCAATACTTATCATCCTCATACACAAACACACAGCCTTAAGGATGGCCTGAGACTGAGACCCATCAACAATCAAGAATGTGTCAATGAGTGTGTCAAGTGGCCAGAAAAACCAGCTGCTGTTGTTCTTGACATAAGTATAGGCCAATTCAAGATAGGGTGCATCAGTATCTGATGGAGATAAGATTAAGACCATGATCAGGAAATCAAAGACATTCCAGAGACTGAACTAATATCCAAAATAATCAGCACTTGAGTTCTTGTCGGGATCTAACTAAAGGCTGAATAGGGATGACATCACCATGTGACTCTCGAGAAGGGCATGTGCACTGCCTTGTCATTACACATAATGTAATCTACTAGGCCTAGATCCTCAGAGACCAGTCTGCTTACTCAGATGTCAAATACCACAAATATGACATCAGCCCTTAAATCCAAAACACACCATCTAATGACACCATCGCATGCATGTGCTCAGTATTTACAGCTCAAACTGTTGGGCTTGGTTTAACACCATCTGCTCGCTACAGTTGTAAATAAAGATTAAAGTGATAAATGGTGACAAACTCAAGCAAACAGAAATAAAGAGGAATTATGAGACAAATTAATCCAAAAGCCCATGTAAAGGGTCTAAGCTTAAATCCAGATATTAAAAATCTCATGATATTTTCCTGTGTATCAGAAAATTTCATAAAAAAAAAATAAAAAAAGCAGGCCACAGTTTGTAGTTTGTAGAACTTTAGCTTCAGCATTTACCATTTATCAAACAGTAAATGGCAAAAGTCTCAGCAAAAATTTACGGAAATCTGCTTTCAGAAATGGTAACATATGGGAAAAGACAGAAAAAAAGATCAGTTTTAACAATTAATAAGATGGAAAGGGTCAAATATGACTAGCAGAGAACTAAACCAAAGAGGCTGCATGCGTGTCTGGGCTCTCTTGATAAAGTTAACATACTATAACTCATGTTCAGCTTGGCTCTGACTTCCACACATATCAACTTTCAGAGTGTCTCATGCCAGAAAAACAAATCCTGGCAAGGAAGTTTAAGCTATTCTGACTTTTGGTTTTCTAATAGATCTAACTTATCTTCTAAATGAAACCAGACAAGTCTGAAATATTCTGCATAATGTATGTCACAAGGTGCTGCCTTATCTTGCACTGGATTTTAAAAATAAAGTTTAACTGCATCTCTTTAGATTAGTATCTGTCTTTTTCCTAAGAGAGTCCAGTTTTAGAAATACTGTGTATATATATTTTTTCCCAGCTATACATTCAGAAATAAAGTAGAATAACCTTACCACAGTTTACAGATCTAAAGGAGCCCATTTGATGAAAGCCATTCCAGGTACTAAACTTAATGAACATCTATATAAAACTGAATCAACTGATTAATGGCAGGAATCCTCAGGCACATTAAGATTCAATTTATGTTTATGCTAGAAACCTGAATCATTAGGTGGAATGTGAATAATATGCAAAGGAATCACGCTGCATCAGTTACTCAGTGTTTCACTTCACCCCTGTAATTGATGTAGCAGAATGAAATCTCAGACTGTAACAAAGGAATGAACCGATGACCCATAGAGGCATTCTGCTCCATTTAACCAGTATGACTTCTACAGTGCTTAATATATGATCGAAGTCCTGAGATTGGGAGGTGACTGGTAAACGCTCATGGAGTCTGGTTTCAACCACTCATTGCTCACCTGATTAGGGTCAGTACTATGCAAGGAGGTCAGAAAACTGTCCACTGGGGATGTGACGGTTAGGAAATTTTCCCATCGGTTAACAGACGCGTCTCACTAATTGAGCAGACTCGTTTAGTTGTTAATCGCATGTCTGTTCTCTAACTAAACTAAATGATTTTGATTACTGTAAAAACAATATGTTAATGACAGTGGGGG